TAGCATGATTTCACATTCATAAAAGTTTTGATCGTTGCCTACAAAAAACTGATCCAAGTGATTTTTGACATTGTCATTTCAAGTAAATGTCTTACAGTTAAAAAAAATTTGTATAGACCAGAATAAGTAATAATCTGTGTGTGCTCTATCTGGCAAATATGGTTGGTGTGATAGCATGTCCCATCTAAGTTATAACAGTTTCTGACGAGTTACCAAACTTGTGTGAAATTTTACATTATCGTGGTAAAACACTATACCTGTTTTGTTGATCAATTCTGGCACCTTTTCTGTTGGATGATATTACTCAATTTGTTTACTCGATGGCAATACACTTTCGAATCAATTGTTAAATTGTCTAGTAAAAGCGCCAAAAAAAAAAATTTCCTTAAAATCCCACCAAAAAGAGCATATGGAACCCATATATCAAGCTTTGAAACAAAACCAATTTGTTTCAAGTAATCATAAGCAGTTCAATTTGACAGATTTAATCTCTTAGTGATTTCACGTGTTGTTGTTTGGCAGTTTGCTTCAATCAGTACCTTTATTTTGTTTTCATTGGCTTCAACTGGCCATCCAGAACGTGGTGCATCTTCAATATTGAAATTGCCAAAACAAAATTTTGTAAATCAGTTTTGGCACTGTTGTTCTGTCAGTACATCTCCATACATGTCACACATTTTTTTTCTCGCTTGAACAGCATTCTTACCTTTTCGGTAATAAAAGAGCAAAATATGCCGAAAATTCTACTTTTGACCTTCCATATTTGATGGGACACAAAAAATAAACAATTGCACAAAATCAAACAAAATTTTTTAGAAATAAGCCTTAAAATGCTAGCTGTCAAAATGTATAATGATAATGCGGTTTAGAATGAAAATGGCAGGAAAAATACAACTAATCCATCTAGTGATAAAAAAACGAAATTACTTTTCGAACAACCCAATAATTATGCAAAGGATGCTCAGTAGCAACTATACATGATTTTTAGATACATGTGTGATATTACAAGATTGGAATATTGATATATGAAGATGAGTTATGGCTTAAAAACACTCACCAGAATCTGAATTTATAACTATTTCTTCATAACACATTTTATTATATATTTAATTTTTGGAGTGTAGTATATTTAGAAATGAAGTGTTTTTATGAGAATAAAAATATATAATATGTAACTGTTTTTGTTTAATAAAATAAAGACACTGAGTTTGGCGTTACATGCATACGTTTTCTTAGCGCAAGCACTTTCAACGAACTGCTAGTTGTCATCAACAGGCGAATACAGAGATTTACCGAAAAATTAAACGGAAATAATCCGATGTAGAATAGAATGCATAAAATATAAGTTGAAACTTTGTCAAAGCTGTTAAGAACATGAAACAAATATTCAAATAAAATTTGAAAACTGAATGAGCAGTTAGCTCCATGAAGTGCAAGCTAGCTGTGTCTTTATTTTATTATACAATATTTTGGCATGATAGTCATCCTATTGATAACTGCTTTTGTTTGTTGATGATGCTAGTTTAATTAATGACTATTTCTAAAGTTAGATATATACTGTGGCTGGACTTTAGGGGCAAGAGAGGTTAGCTCTTGGAGGCTAGCGTTCATAAATTACATCTGCATTTTCCTTATAAATTTTACTCCCTCTCCTCTTCTTGTCCCAGTTTGTTCAAGTTTCTATAACCTCCCCCCTCGTATGTCCAACAAAACTTGATCCCCCTTAAAGCCTTTATCAATTTATAAATGCTAGATATCATAAATAGAAATGAAACACACAAGAAATTTTGAAATAAATATAATAAAATACAAAAACTATAAAATTTAATGAAATAAATGGATGTCCACCGAAGTTCACCTCCTCTCCTCCCCCTGATCTGACTAGTCTTAACTCCCTCCCCCTTCCAGTGTGGATATCATTTATGGACAGACTTGCTAATATTTTTATTAAATAAAAGTATACAATGACAAAATAGTGCTTTATTTAACAAATTATTTACAATTTGTTACATAGATGTCTACTAGGACATATTGTATTATTAGGATTTATTGTATTGGTGTCTGGTTTCTGCAAATTGAGGAAACTTATTCAGAAAAACACTCTTTATTGTTCACCTGGTATTTCACCTGTGTACACTATTTTTGTTTTGGATTTTAAGGTCCCTCATCAGCAGGTTTACATCTACAAGGTGCTAAAACAGGATTTTATAAAATTACAAAAATATTCTAAAATTTTCTTGACAATAATACAATTAAAATGACATACAGTCTTTTGGTAGTTTATTACATTGAGATTTAAATAAATTAACAGAAAAATTTGTATCATATTCAAACAATAAACCTGTATACAATAAACATAAATTTAAAAATAAAATATTTAAAAATGATGGTTAAAACATTTACTTAAACTTACTTATTCTTCGCTTGCTTTTGCTTGTACAATTACTTTTTCATTAATTTAATTTCCTCTATAAATCTCTCCATCTATTATTCCCCCTGTCGATGATACTGTTCCAGGATTGATGAATTTCTCTTCCCAAGTTATTGATTCTATTGTTTTGTCTTTTTATGTCAATGTGTTCATATAGTTATCTTTTAAAATTATTTCTTTCTTTTTTCTTTATTTTAACCATATTTAAATCTATTTTGCATCCATTTTTATTGCAGTGTTCTGCTACTGCCAAATTTGCACAATTTCCTTTAATGGCACTTATATATGTTCCTTTATAGATATTTTTAATTTTCTTTTGATTTCTCCTATATATGTTTTTCTTTGTCCACAATTACAATCAAATGGATACTTTATACTTGGATCTGGCCCAGGTTTAAATGGCACCAGGGGATATTAATGTATATCATTGCTACTAGTGTATATGTTATTAAGAAATACATCTTTGATATATTTCTTAATAATATATCCACTAGTAGCAATGGCATACGTAATATATCATATATTAAAGATATATTTTAGATCAGAAATGTTTTGACATTTGAATTGCAATTATAATTTGAATAAAGATAATTTAGGATGTACAACTCACAAAATATTTTCAACTTTGCAAACATTTCACCAGAAGTTGTATTTCTCAAATGCAATGGAATTCAATTTTCTTGCAAGCAAGAAACATTTTATTTGTACAATGTTTGTTGCTTGCAAGAAAATTGAATTCCATTGCATTTGAGAAATACAACTTCTGGTGAAATGTTTGCAAAGTTGAAAATATTTTGCTACAGAGAGACCTTACAGATGTTGAAAATACTGCTCAATGTAGTCTTCATTCTGAAGGTGCAAAACTTGTAGACAGTGAACAGTGTGATCAATTATTACCTATAATTGATCTTCTGTGATGATTTTTACATGCAGTGGTATATTGTCTTTCAAGGCTGCTAAATTTGCAACATGTTTTCAATAAACCATGTTTTTTGTCTCCACAACCAAAATTACATGAATTAATTAAATGAATTAAGATTGAGAGAATGAGGTGATCAGGTGGTAGGAAATGCATGATTAATTCTATTATTAGTAAAATGTTGCTGCAGAAACTGCTGTACACAGTATCCAATGGGTTGCAGTAATGAATGTGGTTGACTCAAGGCATTGTCATTGTCAATGCCTTGCAAGTTGGATTGGGTTACAACAAAAGTGCAAAAGTGTTGCGCATCTATTGGTATAATTTAATCTCTGTGATATGCTCTACAGTGCATATCAGAGAGTTTAAATTATATTTATGAAAAAATGAATGATATAAATGTATTTTATATGTCATTGTTAATTTGTGAGTTTCCAGAAAATTGCATTTGCTAATCAAAATGTTTTAAGAAAGTTTTCCTTTACATTTATATATTATTTTTGTACTTTTTACAAATTTATACGCATGTGGAATATATAAAGTTTTTTATATCAATATAATAATAAAACATTTTTTTTCTAATAGGGAGATGGCAAATTTGATGTATACAGTTGTTGGTAAAAATGACGAAATTCTCGGTCATGCGACTTTTATGGATTTTCCAGAAATTTATCCTAAAGGAGTAGACGAATCATCTTGGATACAGTGGTTGAATAGTCAAGTTAGGGATCATAGTTTTAAGTTTATAAATGCAATTTTCTTACATTATTTTGTATTTGTAAACCCTCTTCTCTCAGTGCATTATTTGAAACAAATTCTACAATATTTATTTGAAAATGAATATCATATACAATATTGTTTTGTCATCTTATTGAAAACTGTTAAACAAGGTGAGTTTTAATTGTTAGTGCTATCAATGTAATTTTCTACATAATTTCTCTTATTCAAGATAATATTAAGCATATTTATTAGCTTATTAACTTCCAAACAAGGAAGTTAAACTTTTTAAAATTCAAGTTACATATTCAAAAAATTCATAATTTTTCTGTAATATGTTTTCTTTTTAATTGGACTGCAATGTTAACTTTCTCATGGATTAAATTAATTAGTAGCTTTTCTATAAATGTCAAGAAGAATAGAAGTTGAATCTGCAGTTTGAACAATCAGGTTGATATGTTATGTCGTTTGCTATTCAGACTTCCATTTCATCTTTATATGTAATTTAGACTTGTAATACAATAATGCAGTTCAGCTCATTAATTTCAACTGTGTTTGATTACTGTATACACCCAATTCTGCTTTTACACCCAAAAAATCTGTGTAGAAAAGACACTATCCATATGAAAAATGGAAGATTGGTTAATCATCTTAAAAACTAGTAAAATACAATAAATTACAATAAATACAAATAAAATACAATAATACAATAAATTTATTAATACAATAGGATGTGGTCAAACAAAATATTTCAAGTTTAGTTAATAAATCGAAGAAGAGACAATTGTAACATACTTATCAGAAAAATTTAATAAATTTATATTTGCACAAATTTAATTTTATTTATTATTTGACTTTAATTAAACACCAGACTATCACTATTTTTTAACACCTAATGATGAGAAAAAAACCTCTCTGCCATATTGAAAGAAATTAGAAGAAATTCAGCCATACAAACAATCATCAAACATTGAATTAAATGTTTTCCATCTGCATTGGTCGAGGGATAAATTCTGAGCAAATTGCTATACACTTTCAAATAAGTGATAATGAATATTCAAAACTTAAAATACAATATACAGGTATCCCTTGTATAACACGGCAGTTACTTTCCAAAAAAGTGCCATGTTATGCAAATCCATGCTATATGAAACACTGGACTAGTCAAAGGGTTAAGTTCCAAAAGTTAACGAAAGTATACTATTTTTTTTATTACTAAGAAAAATATGTTTATTAAAGCAATTGTTTATTTATTTATTTTTAATTAAATATTTATCAAATATAAAATAAAATTACAGTATTTGCATTTTTAATTTTTAATGAAAGTATTCAGTAAAACTAAACTTCATCAAATTATTGTGTTAATTAAAATAATTATTTTAACCAAGATGTAAATTTTATATAATAATAAATATATGGGATAGTCAAAAGTCGGTTAACCATTGTAGAAACTAAACTTCTGTCTTATTCAAATGCTTTTTTATTTACAAACTATATAAAGATTGTTCAAAATGGCATTCTTCTTGTTCAGTCAACAAAATTTTTTTCACAACACACTAACAGCTCAAAAAATGATTCATACAGTAGAGCATTGATTATCCGACTCAATTGGGGACTGGGGTTGGTCAGATAATTGAAAAGTCGGATAACCGAAAAGTATGAAAAAATCCATTATTAGTGTAGTATATTATTATATCCCATGTAATTAGTATATTAGTATATCGCTATTAATGTACTTCGCGTTGAATTTTCCTCCATGTTAAGCCTATCACATTTTTTTTTTTTAATAAGAATTGTCGCTATTGTATCATTAAAAATTAGAAAATTAAGCCTTGTTTAAATACTGGCTCGCTTTTATGATCGATCCAGTGTTACCAGCTAAAACATGTAAAAATAATATTAAAGTAGCCAAGACATAGCCAAATATTGTAGCGCCACATCACTAGCAGACATTTGAATTTGCCGACTAGAACGCGGTCGGTTAACCGAGGTGACAGTTAATCGCGGGTCGGATAATCGATGCTCTACTGTATTTATAAGTATACCTGAAAAATAAAACAGAATGCTGTTAACTGGCTTTTGGGCCACTCTGTATATTAATATTTTTATTTATAATAATAATTATTATTTTATTATTAAATATAATGAAATGGACCCTTGTCACATGGCTCTTGACAGGTGAATAGATACCATGACAGCTTTCAAAATGAATTCAAAACACAATACATTTGAATATTTTCATTCGGTTTTGGAATCATTGGAGCTTAGATCTGTTTTTGAATGCTCAAAAATTTTGAACATTTAATATTTAGGTCAGTACCTGTATTTAATATTAGGTAACCAAAAAAGTTCTGTCGTTTTTTGTGAAACTACAAAGTTTAAAGAATGTTACACGCAATACACAATAGATGACACTAAAATTCCAGCAATATGTTAATCAAGATTTAATGCTGACTCACCTTATATAAAGAGAAGTGGAAAGGTTATCTCTTAATATTATAAAAATTGACTTGAAGATGAGTACTCCAAACTCTGTAATTCGTGCTTGTATGTTGTATGAGTTTAAACTTGGAACAAGTGCTGTGCAAATGGCTCAAAAAATATGCCAGGCTTTTGGACAAGGTTCTGTTAGCACTCACACCACCCAAAGATGGTTTACAAAATTTTCTTCCGGCAATGAGTCGCTTAAAGATGCGCCATGAGAATGATGTTGAATTACAGGCTGCAATCGAAGAATATTCTGCTCAAACTTGTCAGATGTTAGCACAAAGGTTCTCCGTAAGTGATGAAACTGTCCGTTTACATTTGCATTGTCTTGGGAAAGTTTACAAGCTCAGTAAATGGATACTTCATCAATTGGCACCTGCCAATATTGTGCATATGGTGGACTGCAAATGGAATTGTTCACTATGAACTTATACCATCTGGCCAGACTATTACTGCTAATGTCTACAGTGACCAACTGCATTGAGTTCACCAATCACTTTTGAAAAAACCACCAGCTTTAGTGAACCATAAAGGCGTTCTTTTCCTACACAATAATGCTATAGACATCATGTTGCGCGTGTGACCTCTGACACAATTCAGACCCTTGGATGGGAACCTCTTTTGCACCCTCCTTATTTCCCTGACATTAGCCCTTCTGACTATCACCTATTTTTAAGCCTAGATAATCATCTGCGAAATTGACAGTTTAGAAATAGAGAGGTTATAGAAACGGAATTAGGGAAGTTTTTCAACTCTAAAAATCGTGACTTTTATAAAAATGGAATTTATAAGCTTGTTTCCCGTTGGGAACAGGTTATTGAATGTGAGGGTGGTTATTTTGATGAATAAATTGTGTTATTTCCTATACATTTTTATGTTTGTTTTCTTTCAACAAAAAACGACAGAACTTTTTTGGTTACCTGATATTTTAGAATTTTTCTTTAGTTTTAGAGTTATGTTATGTATCCTCCTTATAAAGAAATTAATAATGTTTTGTCTGAAGTTTGTTTGAAGTTTTGTCTGTTCTGTGACAATATATTAAAATAATGCAAAATTTTAAGAAAATGCATCCAAAAGTAATTTGCATTTACAATAAAAATCATTTTAACTGGACTAATGAAATCAATAATTTTTTTAATGTTTCTTATGTTGATAAAAGTTTCGTATATTTAAAATAGCTTTATTGGGCTGCAATTTGAAAAATTTTAGACAAAGCATCATCTGTCTTTCCTTAATCTCTAGAGTGGTGTTAGATAAATAAAAGTCAAGACCAGATATAGAAAGCTTAAAGAGGCCTCGATTAACTATGTATGAACTTCCAATGCAAACTGGAAGTCATGTTATTTCAATTTTAAAATTTTTTCCCAAAAGGAGTTAGATAATGACTGGTATGACTCTATTGCTAATGGGAAAGTATGATGTACAGGGGCAAGACACTACAGTACTAATTTGAGATGGAGAGTATATATTTTAAATAAATTAAAAATATGATTTGCAGCCCAGCATTGTGACAATGTCACAATAAATAAGTGCTTGTTATATGCTAATTCAAATTTTTTAAATTATTGGTATGATATTCCAAGTTTTTTAATATTATAATGAATAAATTATATTGTTGTTTAGGTTATAATTTCATGTTTTTTAATTTATTAGATCACTTAGAAACTGTGTTTAAACCCATAACTGAAGTAAATAAAGACAAAATATTGTATGTTGCATATAGACAAAATTTTCAAAAGTTAATGCATGTTAGAGATGGAAGGTAAGTTATTTTTCTATAACTTTTATATTTAAAAGGCATTATGTGATCGTTAATTTAGAAATAAATGCACGAAATATTAGTTCAAAGTCTGTTTGTAACTTTTCTAGTTGATCCTTGTTTTGTAATAGAGAATTTATGTACAGTATATAATAATGAAATTATATTAATACAAGATTTGATCAAAATATATGGAAACTGTTTATGAAACAAAACATATATCTTTAGACTATTTAAATGTTATTGCCCTCAACATAAACCTTTCTGCTGCAATACACTTCTGAAATTGCTTTTTCCGGTTCTGAAAAGCCACCACATATTCTGATTATGGAATGGATTCTTCAGTTCATTCTGCAGTTCATTATAAATTTCTCTTGTTCTGAAATGCCATTCTTTTTATGCTTGCTTGCAGTGTGGAAAATTCAAGAAATAAGATGGTTTAGAAATGAAAGTTAAAGAATTTCATGCCAGAAATTTCCATACTAGTATGGTTTATATGGTCTTGAGGTGTTATCAGGTAAACACCTAGTGTCTGTCTCTCTTTCACAAATCCAGTGTCTTTATCATCAAAGTTGTTCTCTTAGATGTTAAAAAACACTTACATAAAACTCAGCATTGATATTTGTTCCAATTGGCGCACATTTGTTTTATTAGAAATCAAAAGTATGCATTTTGTTTTTCAAGGGTCTAATTTACCTGATTAATGTTTTGTATTATTTTTATGTTAAAATTATTATTTATTTTAAAAATACTTCTTTAAATTCTATTAATGCCAAACGATTTTTGGATTATATTTGGCTATGTTAATGTTACTATTAATGATTAAATTTTAAGTAATTCGGCCTAATGGTAGGCATTAGGCACCATCTCTTGATAAATTGAATAATTATAATTAAATTAATATTTTAATAACTATTTTAGAATCTCTGGAAGAAAAGAATTGGTCCAAACTGGGACTCAAACCCACAACTTTCAAATATCATGCAGTCACATTGCCTGTTACACTACCCGGACCTCCATCCAGGTAGCAAACCTACCAATTATTAATTTAGATATAACCATACTGGTTACTAAATAACAGCATTTATATAGCACAATATAATCCAGCAGCCATTAATCTTAAAGACCATGTTAAACGATATTTATATTGATTTCTATTATTACCTTTAGAATTGAAGATAACGATCAGTTGAGTCCGCTGTTAAATCAGAAGAATCCTCTAATAGCCAAAACCTATGGAGAATTTTATTTTGTCGAATTACTTAAATTGGTTAATGAAAATACATTTATTCTAGTTGCAGAGGTATTTATTATGTATTAAATTACTTTTATAAATTATAAATTAGCTTTTAAGTAAATAAATAATGTTAGAAGCAGACTGTAAATAAAATATAGACCACTTCATTATAATATTGTTGAATGTGAACACTATAAGAAGTAATAATGGAGACAGGTTTTGCAAGAAAAATTTATAATTTTATGTTCCATTTATCGAAATAAAAAAGTTGTTTGTAATTAATGTTACATAAGTTAGTGGGCACCAAAAAGGTTTTCTTAGTGCCCACAGGTTGGGAAGAGTTTAAAAAATATCTTGTTTAATTTTTAACATTTTTAGTTTTAATTGTAATATAAAACATATTTTATTATGCTCATAATTTTACATTCTGAAAACAAAATTATTTTGATGATGAGAGTGAATCTTTAAAATATTTAATAAAAATAATTATTTACAGAACCAATCCTAACAAAGTTAATAAAATAATAATAAAGCAGATTTTAATTGGATCTTTAGTTTTAGAGTTATGTTATGTATCCTCCTTATAAAGAAATTAATAATGTTTTGTCTGAAGTTTGTTTGAAGTTTTGTCTGTTCTGTGACAATATATTAAAATAATGCAAAATTTTAAGAAAATGCATCCAAAAGTAATTTGCATTTACAATAAAAATCATTTTAACTGGACTAATGAAATCAATAATTTTTTTAATGTTTCTTATGTTGATAAAAGTTTCGTATATTTAAAATAGNAAGATATTATGTAATTTGTACAGATTGTGTAATATCTTTAAAATTTTAATTTATTTATTTTTCATTTTTGATTCTTTCCATCCCATAAACACTATGATGTCTTTTTTTTTAATGTGCTCATTGTGAGTTTAGCCAGATCCACAACAGGAATGGCTGGATGGAGAGGGACAACAGGCCCAACATGTCTGTGATCCACTGTCTACAAAAAATTCTTGGGGAGTGCTTGCCTGGATTTGATTCCAGGTTCCTCTGAACTGTAGGCCAATATGTTAACTGTCTTGGCCATCTGGCTGTCATTATCAATGCCAAAAACACCCATCCACTTATAAATAAATAATAAATTTGTTCAGGTAGTTATTTATATATTTGATGGTTTTTATTTAGATTGAAGATTCTGCCGTTGGACTTATGATACTTTCGGCGGAAGTCGATGTCGAATTGTTAAATAAAAATTTTGATCTGAAATCATTTCACAGATTAGTAAAGAAAACTGAAATGGAAAATGAGAGAGATGAAGAATTGAGACTGTAAATACATTTACTCTAATATTTATTATATATGAAAAATTGCTCTTCTTTTTACAGTTGTGGATTACCCAATAGGCACACTAGACATACATCTGGGGTCTCATCATCTTGAGAGGCCTCAAAAATTGCACAGCAAAAAGATAATATGCCTCTAAATATTTAGTGAATTTTTAAAAAGTGTATATTTTGCATTCTGGTAAAAACAATGACATAACTCATAAATTAACAATTTTGTTTTCTTTTTAATATTAAAAGAAAAACAAAAAAAAAACACTTTTACATACAGGGGCTTATAACAGAATTGTGCCTAGAGTCCCAAAGGAACATAATCTGTTGCTGACATTTTCTATTGTTGGGCTGCAATTTGAAAAAATTGTAGACCTATAAATTCCCACTGTCATCCATCCATCAGTCTGTCTTTCCTTAATCTCGAGAATGGAGTTAGGTAGATGAAAGATGAAACCAGATATGGAAACCTTTGGAGTGACAGGAGGCCTCGATTAACTATATACGAACTTCCAATGCAAACTGGAAGTCACATTATTTCAATTTAAAAATTTTCCCTCCAAAAGGTGTTATATAGATGACCGGCATGACTCTATTGTTTAAGGAAAGTATGATATATGGGGGCAAGGGTAATTTGAGATAGAGAGAATACATTTTAAGTTAAATAAATTTAAAAATATGATTAAAAATTGCAGCCTGGCATTGTGACGATATCACAATAAATAATTGCTTGTTGTTCATATTCTTTCCCATTCTTATTTGATCTGAACAAATAAAAATTAAATTGTTATTTTGCCAATTAAATTTTAAATATTTGATTATAATAACTGAAATGTGAAATAAATTATTGTATTTATGAGTTAAATTAAATTTTCAAGATTTTTCAAAGAATCACATTTTTGTGTCTTTAATAATAATAAAAATGAAGACCTCTTGTATCTCTAATTATTTTTTGTAAGTTTTAAGTAGGTAAGTATTTACATATCCAAACATAGAAAATGTATGGAACTGAAAAATTCTTAGTTGCCCATTATAACCTTATAGGACTTCCTATAAGTAGTCTTTATATATAGTCTCCTTATATGTAGTCTTTCATTAAGTGGAACATACCTGTACCATTGAAAATATTTAATAAGATGCATTATAATATGCAAAATATTACATTGCAATTACAATGCAAAATATTACATTGGTATAATAATATTTTATTTATTTATGATATTAAATTAAAGCATTGAGAAAATATGTTAAACTGCTGTAAATGGTATTTCTAAGGATATTATTTGTATTTCGGCAAATGACAGTTGTATTTTTATTTAAAATGTTTTATTTTTGAAGGAGCAAAAATAAACTGTAATTAGATTTTTGATGTTAACTATGATAAGACTTTAATGATTATTATTTAAAAATATGATTTTATTAAAAGATTTTAAACTTTTTTAAAATAATTTATATTTAGTGAAACAGAAAATATTAAGAATGTTGATTTTGAAGAGGTAAGATTTTCATTATTTTTGTAATTATTTTATTTATTGCCATTAAACTAATTCAAATTTCAATACAATATATTATAATTCTCTTAGAACAAGATCAGTTAGAATGGAATTATATGTATAATCTAACAAATTTATCCCACTAAATAATGGAACATAAAAGCATACAATATTGCTATATACATTCACTATATATATATCCATATATATAATCTTTGCTATTGTTACTTTTTGCCCAAGCAATGCCGGGCTTATCTGCTAGTGTCTAATAAATTCTGAATATCACCAAAACAAAACCAAAAAAAAATTATTACATTGTCATCTTTGACAATGAATGATTTGAATCTGTGGCTTAAAATTTTGTGTTTTGTTCATTCATATTTTAGGTTAAATATAATTGAATAATTAAAAGTTGTATGTATGTATGTATGTATGTATTACAATAAATATGATAGTTTGAGTTTGATAATCATCCAACCACCAAATTAATTGGGAAGAAATTATGCTACAAATATTAATAATAATAATAATTAACATTTGTAGCATGATTTCTGCCCAATTTTTTAATTTGGTTGTTGGTTGGGGATTATTAATACATCAGGTTCTTGGGATGTTTACATATGATATTTTGGTTTAAAAATATTTTTAATATCTATTTTGGTACTTTCAGGAACTTGAATATCCAAAATCTCATTCACCCTCTGTTAGTACGTTTGAAGGATTTAATTCAAATTTACAGAAGAGTAATTGTTTTTGCATTCATTTCTATTACATAAAGGAGGAATACAAAACAAGGTTGAGAATTTAACCAAATTTTTTAAACTATACTAAATATTCTGTTAGATAAATCTAAAATCACCAAGTGCAACATCTATGTCAATGACATCAAGATTGCTAATTCCTGCAAAACAGTATTACAGATGATATGAATAAATTAAACAAATTACTTAAAATATTAAATCTTTTAATAAATATTAAGAAAACCAGTTATGCTATTCAGTCTTGTTGGATTATCTCTCAATATTATCATCCAACTAAACAATTGGCACTTACGACTTGTTCCTAACATTCTAAACCTAGCAATAAAATTTGACCCTAAACTCACTTTTAGTCTGTAAATTGATAATTTAATCAGAAAAATTCCTATTTGCTGCAATTTTAAAACAATTTCTGCTAAAAATATTCTCCGTGCAATATTCTTCACTAACATTTGATCTCTAATGCTTTATCTATGTGGGCTTCTACATCTCCATCTCTTTTGAAAAAAAACTCAATGCTGAAATTTCTAAAATGTACTTCTTACTTACAAGTTATCTCATCTGTCCTTTACTAACTCCTCCAAATCCCTTTTTTTTTTATCTTATGACTATCTTATAGTTAAGGTCCTGATTGCAAGAGAGAGAGAGTACTCACAATTGATCATGAGCAGGTATTTACCTCATTGACAAATGGAGTCTTTGTGAGGAGGTCTTCTAGTTTCAGTCCTTATAGTATTAAATGGGAAAATTGTCGCAGTTTTAATGGTAAGAGAAACTTGACCAGTCGAGTGACAAATGATCAGATGACTGAATCAACTTGCTAACAGGAACTGCTAAACCAGGTCGCCAACAAGAACTGGATGACCTCAATGACCTTTGAGTAGTCCCTTTATATCTTTTGGTCTGTCTTCTAAGTTAGAACATTTCCAAAAATGGTAATATCAGATGAAGACTCTGTTAATAACCAATCTGAATTTTCCTTCTCTTGCTTCCCAAGTTGAGTAACCATCTGAGGAAGCAGTGTAATTGGAAAGAAAGTGTTTTCTTTAACATCATCTTGTTATTTCCTTGTTATCTTTTCTAAAATTTTCTCTTTTGTTAACAATTATTTTAATAAATTATAAAACATTATTCTTTTTATAAATTTTGAAGCCCGGAATCTAACAATTGTATTAGGAAGTGATGATTATTGTCTTAGTGACATTGCCTGAAAATTAAAATGAAAGAAATAAGTAAAATTATAAATATCTAGTTTACTTGTGCCCCTGTATATATATATATATACAGGGGCGTAAGTAAAGACGACAAGGAAATAACAAGATGATGTTAAAGAAACACTTTCTTTAACCTGTATATAAATATACAGGGGCACCTGGGCACACAGATCCTTTTTCATCTGGGTTACCCTTTTTCTAATACCCAAGGGGCCCCAAATTTCATTATCAACAAACAACAGAAAACTCATGACTTCTAGATATCCTATTCTGCAAACATAAAAGAAACTGATGAATGATATTTGTCCATTGTCCCTGTAACTATTTTTATGTAGTTATTTGTTTGTCATATGTTGACCAAAACAAAATTCCTTGTTTTTTGAGGCCAAGTTATCCAAAATGCAACCTTGTGGCAATGCCAATCCAATGTCAAATCATAGTTTGAAGCTTCTTGTATAATGCCCTTTTTTTCATAGCTCTTTCCCCTTTACAATAGTCTAAAGGCACCGTTGGCTTTCTTCATATTTTTGGAATGGCCTTTAAGTAAAGACCATATCCGAGTTATGTCATATAAAAAAAAATTAAATACCAAAGTTAACAATTTAGGTTAAAGAATTTTAAGTTATTATTTACTATTTAATTAATTTTACTAATATAAATGATTTGTTTCAGATCGATAGAATTTCTTTTTTCTGCATTTGAAAAATACGAAAATATAGATCATTGCATAATTACCGTACCTCACAGCCTGCCGGAATTTCCTTTATTAAAGCATTTTGTGGTAATTTATTATTATTTTTAAATGAAAACAATTCATGTTATTTGTAATTAATTGTATATTTTGTAAAAGCTAATAGTTTTACCAAAACTGCAAATAATCTTAAAAGAATAAAATTATTTAATATAACTTCTTCGTGCACACTGGGGTGTATGATAAACAAAAACGTACTTACTCGTGCCTCTAACCGGTGTGTAGAAATACAAAATTATTTATTTTTGTATTTCTACACACCGGTTAGAGGCATGAGTAAGTATGTTTTTGTTTAATAATTTAATAATTACAATATTAATAAACAACTGCAATAACCTACAAAACCAGCAACAAAATTTAAACAAATGCAAACGTTTTTGTCCGTGTTGAACAGGCATCATCAGACAACAAATTGTTTGTTTCCTGATGATTGTTTACACATTTATGCACTGCATGTGGCCCATGGGCTGCCAGTTGGACACCCCTGCTGTAAATCTTGCACTGTGCACTCTGTGCTTATTGTCTGCATGTACTCTTATGTCATAGATACCATTTCCATGCATTAGAAGGGTTTCTGCATCATTGACATTAACTACTTGCTTTTGTAGACCTTCCCTAAAAGCCTCTCTGCATTATGGTATATTACAGGAAATTAGAGAAAAAGAGAACATAGCTGAGGCAGAGAGGTTTTGAATTTTTAAGTAAGGTGTACACAAACGAGCAGTTATTGTCAAGGATTCAGAAACTCTTCTATTGCATCAAAATGGTGTCTATGACAAGGTATAAGGATACATGCAGATGATAAGCACAGAGTGTACAATGGAAGGTTTACAGGGACCATTTATTGAACTTATAATAAGACTTCTCCATTGTTTTGGTTGTCATATTGTGTTTTTAAACTTTAAAAGTGTTTTTTAAATTTTGGAATACTACGGCATTATAGCATTTAAACTTTAAAGTCTTAGGTGTTTTTAACCATTGACAGTTTTCAAACTATTGGAACTTTGTGAATGTGTTCAAATCTAGCTTTTCATGTTGCTTCTAAAGATGAGCTGTTTAGTTCAAAAGTACTAAGGCATTTCTGAATGTTTTGTATTCCTAAAGTAAGTGATGTGCCATCAATTATTTACAAATCCATAGGGGTTTTATATGAGAATTTTTCTAATTCTAAAATTCTTAACATATCTGTTTACATCAAGAGGAAGTTTTGCAAGCATATAATTGAAATAAGATAAATTGACAAAGAATGAAAATGGTATGTTTGATTCAGATATAGAACAGACATGATAGAGCAGATAATTGTGTAAGGCTTCTACTACCCATTTTTTGATAATGTCCAACCACCTCTTCCACTTTGAGTATTTTAACTAAACAGAAAAATCTTCTGTTTACAAAGCCATAAAGCATAAAGATACTTTATGGCTTTGTAATTTAAACCATGCCATTATCTTTCCTAGGAGCCAATATAGGGTTCAGTCCTGTGAAAAGAGTGGTTCAGGAGTGCACAGTAATTAGGTCCATTATTACTCATATCCTTGTTCACTTGTATTTAGCTAATATAAAATACAGCTTGGTACAATGTTTATGTTTACACTCTATGTAGTGTAATATTGTACAATATACTGAATAAAACAACTTCAATAATTGACAGCAATCAGCTTTACTGCCAGATTTTGAACAAAAACTTGATTTACTTTGAATTCATTATAATATAATTTAAAAATAGAAATTGGATAGTTATTTTAATCTGCTCTATATATATATATATATAAAATACTTAGCTTAGTCAAAATCGTCCCAGCACTTTTCTGAAAAAAAAAGAACACCAGCACTGGAAATTGATGAATCATCTTGAAATTTTTGAACAAGTGAGCAAAATGAGTAAAGTAAGGAGGGTTGGCCCAAGAGAGGTGAGTGAATTAAGGAGGAAGCAAAGTGAGTGGGAGTAGAGGCTTGGGCCACCCATCCTGCTGGAGATAGGTTGAGGGATAAATATTTGAAAAGCATTTTTTGATATTTAAAGCAATGTTTTAAATATATGCTACAGAATATAAAATATAATCTTACTTAATTGTACTATCAAAGAGTACACAAAAATTTTAAATTTTCCTTCTTTTCGATTTATAGAGGACTAAAAATTTTTTAACTAAACCATTTATTAAAAAATGAAATAGAATTTAAAAGGTTAAAAAATTAAACCAGGTTATTGTAGAGAGAAAACACTTTTTTATTACATCATATTTATCCCTAAATGCATTTTGCCAGTTTACCAGCCTCTTCAGTAGGGCTTGTAAATATACAATATAGTTCTAAATGCCAACTATGATAAATCTCCATTACAGTTTCCTATTCCGCATTTACAACTTTTATACTGGACGAGGATTACCCAGCATTTCGTTAGCAGCACACCATTATTCAAATTTACAGAGTTACTTTGCATAACAATTGCAAAGTATTCTTTAAATTTTCTTTTTACACAATTTGTTTCTTTGTATACAATCTTTACTTTATTAATATTAATTTGACAACTATGAGCATTACAATGTAAAAATACTAGTAAAGTACTAACTTTTAATTGTACTGCAGCAAGATGTTCTGACCTTTAACTTCTGTTTAGTTTCTCCAATGTAAAAACTTGGAATTCCACACATGCATTGTAATCTGTATACCACACCAGCTTCTTCTAATGGATATTTTTTATTAATGTTACTTATTTTCATTAGTTCAGATAACCTGTTTTTTTGAATAGGAGCTAATATTATTAAAATTTTTTGATATTTTTTCATATAATCCTTTAATATATGGAAAAGATACATACTTTTTAATTTCCTGTTTTTTCTTTACTTGATATCTATTTAACATGAAATCATCATACCACTTTTTTAACAAATTTTCTGGGTATCCATTTAATAAAATGCTTCTTACTTACTGTTCTTACTTCTTTTTCTCTCATATTAAATTTAGTTGTTCTGGAAAAATTTTTTAACCTTTTAAATTCTATTTCATTTTTTAATAAATGGTTTAGAGTTAAGAAATTTTTAGTCCTCTATAAGTCAGAAAAGAAGGAAAATTTAAAATTTTTGTGTACTCTTTGATAGTAGAATTAAGTAAGATAGAAAAATTCTGACTCCATTGTTTTAAATAATTTATTTTATTTTTATAAAATATATTATTATACAGTGGTGCCTTGTATTTCAAATTTAATTTATTCCATATGGTTGTTCAACGTCTGATTCAATTTTCCCCATTAGAAATAATGGCAAATTAATCCATTCCTAGATCCTAGACAGTATCCATTTTGATAAACAGCAAATATACATAATTTAAGGTAAAAATAACACAGTCAAATATCCTAAATAATAAATTAAAACATGAAAATCATAAATAAAACCTATAAATACTACATAATAAAATGAAAATGACATTTGCTGTAACCTAGCCAGGAGAAGTGATGTTCTGTTTCTTAAGATCACAATGTAACTACTTGGCTTTCTCATAAACAACCCTCTTAGAGATGATAACATCAGCCAATTGCTTCTCATTTATCCACACTAGTAAGAATTTTTTCATCTCAATGAAATAATATGTAATCTCTTGGAGGTCAACATTGTCACAGCTTTTGCCACATTTACTGCTTTTATTTTTTCCTTGTTTTTAAGAATGGTACACATTATTGACCTTGGCATATTAACATGGCCACTAGATCCTCCATATGCTGCTTTCATACTTCATGATAAGTTCCATTTTCAACTCATTTGTCATTACTACAGGCTTTGTTGCTTCCACTCTCTTCTTGTATGCCATGGTTAATAAATAGGTTTGTTTGGTGTTCTTGTATAACCAGCACACCAAAAATACAGCAAGAAAAGCACTGAAAAACAAGCATAATGCAAGAGACGCTTTCACAGTGAAAATGAGACACAACTTGGGTGCATAACAGGTGGAGTTTACATAGCCAGTATAATTTTTCATTGTATTTGAATATAGAAGATCGTTTGAACTCCGGATCAAATTTTTCTCAAATTTAGCATTCAAACTCTTGAACATTTGAACTTAGTCACTCAAAGTATGAGGTACCATTGTAATAACTTGAATATTTTAATTAAATTAATATCATATTTTTGTGGTTTTAAATGCTTAGATTTATTTTATTAATGATTCTTAAAAATTTTTCAGATGTTAACACCAAGACCAAATTCTTTATTTCCTCATAATTTATATTTGTGTCATAAAGCAAGTTTGTACAGGTATTTATATAATTATTCATATATTTATTTGTACATACATATAAAATTACAGCATAGTCTAATTGATAGCCACAAGATGTCTTTTTCTATTTTTCTAATCTTTCTTGAAGATGTTAATTTTTGAAGTTACAAATAATATTGTTTTGAATGCTATGTTATTTAAGAACAGCTTATACTTAATGTTTAAACAAATAAATACTTTCTAAAAAGTGGCTGATGTTTTAAATTGTGTTAAAAACATTAGGCAATCTCAAGGATCCCAAAATTATGTCAATGTTTATAATTTTGGGATCATTGGTAAAAGATATATCCACAAAGTTCAATGTATTATTAATTAATCACTAACTACCCTATGGCTTATGAGAAAACTTTACTTAAAGCATAATCTCAGCAGCCATAAGGTGGTTAGTGATTAATTGATTACTTCTCTCTGAGAAGTGTGGTCTCAATTGTTAAATGTATCTTTGTAGTAATGTAGAGGCTCTACTGTCCACTGGAAAAATTCAAGAATACAATTAATTTCAATCATTAACCTTTTATATCTGAACAGTCTCTAATAGATGGTGAATGTTTGTTTTGGGTGTGATTTTAGTTTTATATAGTGCAAGAATTTTACTTCCAGTTTGCTAAACCATTAACTTCTGCAATAAAGAAATAACTTTAAAAAATTTTAAAAACATTAACTTCTGCATTATACAGTATTATTTATGATGAGTAATTCAATAGATTAATTTATTAATTAAATACAGTATATTTTCCATCAGGAATAATTAATACATTAAGCAGATAACTTTTAGTTGTTTATGAATGCATATTAATTCATATTTACTTAACAGCCATTTTCAGGTACGATATGCTGTTCCTACTGATTTACCCAAAATTACAAGCCTCATAAAAACATTAAAAGGAAGTAAGAAAATAATAAATGATGTTATCCAGTATTTTGATGCAGGATGTGATGAGGTAATGTAAAAATGTTGTACTTATTTATTAAAATTTAAAATTCATAACTTTTTAACATAAGAAATATTGGTTCTTTGGTTTTAAATCACTTTGGCTTAAATTTGAGTTTAAAGTGCTTTTGATCTAGAAAATGGTGATATCGTTTTATTTTTTTCAAGTAAAATTTAAATTTAAAGCAGAACTAAGAAAAATTAAATAACCTATACAATCACTAACAGGGTAGGACACCTTATCCTGTTAGCAGTTGAAGTATTTAATTTTTCCATATGGATTTGGTGGAAGTTGAAGCTAGAATTAAGAAAGTTTTATCATTTATGAAATAAACCAAACTTTTCATTTATCCTTGGTTAAGTAACAGGTAGAACAGAAGTGGTTCAGTATCTTGATTGTGATAATTTTCTTACCTAACATGCAATTTTTTTTTGTTGCTGCCAATTCAATCTATGTTCAATGCAATTTGATAGTTAGTCCTGGTTGTCCTATTTCCATTGTGCTTTGTTTGATGACAATGTTACCAATAGATTCTATAGGTAATACTACATCATGCACAAGACTAATACAACACATCACATCAGGTTGCAAGCTTTTAACACAAACTGAATATGTACATTGACAATTAAACAGGAAATGTTTACACACAAATGCTTACACATACACAAAAAGACAAACTTCTGCAATCAGAAACCATACTACAAATACACTCTTCAGACACTCATAGAAAACAAAACACAGAATATACTGTACTATTACTGAGCCATAATCACAGATAAAACAATACATCACTACAGAATAGACATCCTATTCATCTACAAACAAAACAAAAGCATATACAGGTATACCTTGACTTACGTCATTTCGAGTTATGTTGTTCCCGATTATACGTCGTTTGTCAAAAAAGTATATGGAAAAATAAAAATCAAGTTTAAGTCATTTTATTCAACTTTACGTCTGTCCGCCACAAATATTGAAGTCGTAATATCACTAGCAAAGCGTTTAAAGCACATAAAATCATATTAAAATATATATATTAACAAGTATGTATTGTATTTACAGTACATGCATTCGTAAATTTAGATTACTTTTTTCTGTACTATATTAAAAACTAAAATTTATTTGTAAGCTTAAAATAGATCCTTATTAACCATATATTATTAAAAATGCATTAATAAATAAAATACAGAATTGGGAATGGTAATTTATGGTTTAGCCTAGTGACAAGTACATTCGGAGACAAATAAATTCGACTTACGTCATTTTTTGACTTACGTCGTTTCTCCTGGAACCAATTATCGACATAAGGCGAGGTATACCTGTACATCATAGACATAGTTGTTCGAAACACTCACAACATGCAAAATACATACACTGAAAAAATTAGTAAATATTCAGAACTTGTCCACAAAATAAAGTATCTGTGGAGAATGGATGAGGTATTAACTTATTGTGCCAATAGTTCTTTCTTGCACAGGTGTTGTACCAAATACTTTATACAAAAGTCTAGAAACATTAAGGCTTGACAACAGCATATATATCACACAATAGAAGGCTATCATTCTAAACACATATAGTAAGGTCAAGAAATTCTTTAACACATGAATAGCACATTAAAAAAACATTTGTTTTATGTAGTTATGACTTGACTCTAGTCCTGAATAGCACTAGGTATTGGTATGGCTGTATGCCATATTTATATATATTAATTTAGGTATAGTTTTAGTCATCTCCTTTGTTCTTTGTTTCTTCTTCCTTCCAGAACTTTCCTTACTAACTCTATTCTCTTGGGTGGGATGACCGATTTTTGGAACCATGGAGAACAATGAAAGAAAAGAAGCCCTGGGGCCAGTGAAATAAAGGAAAGACATTCTTGGATCCAGACCTTGTGGTGGACCAGGAGGTTGAATGTGGTGCTCCAGGTCGCAAATGGCAACAACTGGAGGATTTGAGAGAGTTTGAGAATTGGATTCTATCATAATTATGATAAAAAGGTGTAATAATGAGGTACAAAAACCTAGTGGAAATGACAATGAGAGACTTTTTCAGAAAAAGTTCAACATGGTATCCCACCCAAAATTGTGAAGTCCAGCAAAACCCCGGGATTTCACTCCTTACTATATTCTATATTTCTAGATTCTCTATCCCCTATCATCTTTCTTTTCCTTAGTTTTAAGTTAGTATTAGTAAGAATTAGTCATAGTTTTTCAGTCATCATTTATATTTGTTGCGAACAATACATTTTGTAATGGTCTGTCGGAATATTGTATGATGCCATATTGTAATTAATTACTGCAGAGTTGGAATCCAAAAGAACCTGTTCATATACATCAAAATAAAATACTTTGTTTGACTATACTGTTGCTTAGTTATTAATACATCTTTCCTTTGTCAATCTATGTACAGTACATTTCGCAGGAACATCAGATTGGTATATACATTATGTAGGAAACATCCCAATAACAAAATAATAATAATATAATAATAATAATAATAATAATAATAATAATAATAATAATAACTCTCCCGTGGTCACCACCTGGTCGTGGTGGGAGAGCCCAGTAGTTTTACTGATCCATAGGGCAATGCAGGCTGGAGCACAAGCTCCTGGTAGGGACACCCATGCCAGTAAGGTCTATGGGGAGAAATGAAGCTAAGAGTGACCACACACCCACATTCTGTGGAGATAATCATTATGGTAGTAACCAGATC